CCAACTTACAATTCATGAAAATGTGTTACCTACTATTCTTATGTTTACACATATTAACAATTGTCAACTAGCTTTGGTTGTGAGAAGGTCGGGTTATTAAATGAGTGGCTCAGCAGCCAAACTTATATCCGACATACCAAATTCTACCACGGGCAAAATGAAGACGCTATTCTTGAGATTGAATATCATAATCTTCGGAAATCGACTAATTATTCGATTACAGTAGCATGAAGGCAAAATCCTGTACACTGATTTCTGAGAGGAAGAACAAACAAACGTAGGAGAAATCAGAAATTCAAAAGCTGAAATTTGTTGAGAGGATTCAATAATAAATAATGCACTAAAAAATCAGTCAGCCTTTTATTTTAAAATCCCTCCATGTGATATTCGAACGTCAGTGTGACCAAATATTTAATTTTTTATTTGAAACTAGGTGGTTTGGGTATTTCAAAATAATAATGGAGTAATTTGGAGTTTTTGAAGCTCGTCAATCAGCATTTACCCTTCTGAGCCCCCGTTTCTTGCTTTAAAGAATTTCTTGAGAAGAAAAATGGGGTTCTTGGTCATCGACGGATGTATTAGGTTGTAGTGTTACTTTCATCTCTGACCTTTTTTCGGTTTGCCCAAAAATTGTTTCGCCCTTTGAATATTATACCTTATCGAATTTTTTTCCCTCTACCATTTTTAACCTTATCCTTTTCTCATACTGTTCCTTGTTATCTGTTTAATGTTCAAATATGAAATAATAGATTACTCTATATTTCCGTTGTAAGGATTATGTTAATTTTATTAACAGTTAAATTTCAAGTTCCTTTCCTGTCAAATTCTTAACTTCAACTTACTACTTCTGGCTAGAACGTAGTTTTGGAATCTTTCTGAATATTTAATGAGGAGGAGCGGTATTTAAACCGCAAAGTCTACTTGCAGAGTCAGATAGAATCAGAGTTTCTGATTTGCGCGCGTCTGCCCTTTGGCTACTCTCTCTCTCTCTCTCACAAAGTTGTTATTACGCTCGGCCGTACTCAGTCCCTTGATAAGCTTCGTAGTCAAATAAAGGGGGACGGTGACTTTAAAAATTAGTTAAGTTTTTGTGTTTTCAACAAGAAATTTTATATACGTACATATTATAATATCAGTTTATAAAATATATGTTCGAAATTTCAATTCATTTTAAATTAAAAAATTTTAAAACAAACAATTAATTATTTTAATTAAAGATTTAAAATGCTCCTTGTGCACTAATTTTCAATATTTTTCCCTAATATTTCCTTTAAGTTAGTTATAAAGATTTGACAAGAGAGTTTTTGTGTATCCGTTATTGAATATGATAGATCAAAAATTTTTAAAAGGATTTTTGTGAACTTAAACCCAGTTTTGGGAAAAAAGTCACCTTTTGTTAAACATTATCACAAGATTAAACTTCTTAATAACCTCATATCCAAAAATGCATACACAGATCTACTGTAACATGTAACAAGATAGTGCCTTCCAAATATCATTCATTTTTAACTGAAAATGAGACGCATGGAGCATTTTCAAGGTATACGAACTGAGAAAAAATTTCTTCTGAGAAAACCGAATTTAAAGTTTTCTTCAAACTTACCTTTAATACATGGTCATGAGAAACAGAAAACTAACTTTAAATATGAATATATAGACACTGGATAACATTTTCGTATAATTTAACTATTTATAATCTCATAATATTACATTTGAGAAAAATAAACATATCGCAAATTGGTATGTGATTCGAAGTAGGTAGAAACAATTTATGCGTTATATCAAATGAAACTTTTAAAATTCACCCGCATCACATGTTTTACCTTCATTTGTTATATTTACATTATTTCTTAATGCTTTACAATATTTTTTACTATTTCTGTTTATTTCCAAGTAGATAAACTTCTCTTTTTGCTTTGGTTCAAGCGACGTTGATCACGCTTTTTTTACAAGCGTCTACGGAGAGAAGGCAACTTTTGAGATCATGAATCTGATCCTCCCGTCTTACGCGCATCTCAGTTTGCGCATCATGTGACGTTAACAGATACGTCAAAAATGTGTCTGTTTACATTTTGCATTTGACTTCGTGCGTTTTATGCTTCGTTAGTATGTGAATTTTGCTTTCACATATTTATAATGAACTGAAGATTCCTCTCAATAAAGACCCCTTCTCACGGCCAAATACTTAGGAATATTGTGATGATTCTGCTTCAGAATATTAGAATATATAGCACCAATTTAAATGAGCTGGGTGGTAATATCAATGATCATTCAAGACAATAGATCTGAAATTCACATTTCCGCTTTGATTACGATTGGTAACATCTTTCAGAAAACTGTAATTTCAAAATCTTACAACTGTTCTATTTGCAAAAAGTGTTGTATTTTAATGCCAGCAATTTATAGCATCATTTGAAGAACATTCATTCCAATAAAAGCATATTTCTACTGCTGAAATATTTAATTCCAATTCAGATCATGCATTTTATAAAGTTCGTCAATGGTAATTCGATTTCATATACTTTTGCTTCAAAATCCAGTATAACTTCAAAAAAGTTTTAGCTGCCCTGATTCCAAAAAAATGCTTCTCAAGTAACAGCAATCTAAAATGTCACTGCATGAAATTGCATATATCACAACAAACAACATTACTCAAGCAAGTAAAAATACAGTTTTCCAATTTAAATGCAGTTTATATAGTCGTCAGTTCAACAATAATAAAAATTTATTTTTCACAATCACATAGTGCATTTACTGCCCTTGAGTGTTCATCATTAAAAAAATGATATAAATGCACATTATGTAATGAAGGTTTTTTAAAGGAAACTTTTCATTACATTTGCAATGGAACAGAAATAGTCATTGAAAAAGAAGAGAGAGAGATTTCTCTGTGTTTAATGATTTCATGTTGTGAAAGGAGAATTTTGAAATAGAAACATAATCTAAATTTTTTTAAATTTACAAAGAAACATGACCCTTACATGTAAAAAGATATTTATTTTGTATGCCATCATTCAAGGACATTATATTTATATAAAGTGCAAGGCATGCGACATTTAAAAATACAATGGAGTAACAAAATTAATGCTTCTACAAAAGTAAGCCCAGCCTCTATAAAAGTAAGCCAATTTAATAATGGAAAATGTACTGCTTATATACAGAAAAACCCGTTGTAAGTCATAGAAAGGGTATAGGGCATCTGTCTCTTACAGAATTAGAACGGCATTAGAACTGCAGTTATGCCGTTCTAATGTTAATTTATGTAACTTAAATTGCTGGAAAAGTATCCCTTTTGATGAAATTTTAGATAAAATTCAAGATTCTGTATATGATACTGCATCTTTTGACAAAGAATGATTTATGGAATATTGAAAATTCGGTACTCCTTCCGTTATCAGAACCAGAATCAGAAATGTATGCATGTTATGGCTGGATGGAAGTGTTCATGTATGCATATATATGTGTACATATGAATGTATACATTTCTGAATCTGGTCCCAGTAACAGAAGTGTCCGAAAATTCTTATAATCCACAATCAAATGCTGTAAGGCATAAAAATGATTGTAAAATGTTAATGAAATGGGGTTAATGAAATTACTAGTGAGGATAACACTCTATTTTATTTTATAAGCCTTAAAATATATTTTAAAAAGTTATCCTGAATTTTAAATGATGATTTACATTATGAAAATGAATGACTCCCAGAGGCACTTTCTTCGAAGTGGGATCAGACTATATATGTATAAATGGTACACATAGGTTTGAACGGTTACAGAATTGAATTAATCACACTGCTTTTACTTGATGCTTTGCTTCACGGCTTCCCTGTGCATTTATTATTACAAACAGAACTGAGCAGGAAGTTTTGTCTGTTTTCTTTGCCATCTGAAAGATAAAGTATGTCAGTAACACCCGAAGTATTTATGAATATGAATACAAGCTAGTTTTTGGCTCACCAGCGGCCGAACGGACGCTGGTAGTTTGTCACTGAACTCTGGTAGTTTGGTCCGAGGTTCAAGTCCCTCAAACGGACTGTCTGCATGGGCATTTCCATGTTTTTTCCATGTGTAATGTGTATACGAGCCAGTTTCCCTTAGAATGTCCTCCACAAAGGCATCCCTCCCTTAGGCAGATGGCCGTCAAGTGCTTTGCCATAATAAATAAAACCAAACCAACAAACTAGTTTTGATTAAAAATTAAAAAGTCTTCCATGAAGTATTTCTTCCCCCACATGATCTTTGCCATATCCAGTTCCAACAATCAAATCAACACATTGTTATTTAACTACTTAATTTGAAGATTTTTGGGCCCACCAGCGGCCGAGCGAGCGATAAAGTCGCTGAACACTAGTAGTTCGGTCTGAAATTCGAATCCAGTGAATGGGCTGGCTGCATGGGCGTTTTCGTGGTTTTCCCCATGTGTAACGTGTATAGGAGCCAGTTTTCCATAGAAAGTCCTCCACGAAGGCATCCTCTTCTTAGGCAGATAGCCCTCGAGGCTTTGCCATAATCACACGCACACATTTTGAAGATTTATATATATATATATATTATATATATATATTTTTGTGTGTGTGTGTGTGTGTGTGTACGGTTGTGGTCTTGTATTGTATATGGTTCTATCTGTTTGTCTGCTGCTGTTTTTTGCAAAAATGTATGAAAATGTTGGGAACGAAAATAGCACAAGTTACTTTAGTTAAATTAATATATACTTTGTATGATGACTTTTGTTGATATCTCAGGATGCAATACATATTACTTTGCATATACTCAGCATAACATATTACTTTGTATTTCATGCTAAATACCTTGATACGAAGCAATTTAACACCGTCAATATTTTTTTCTCCCCCAGTAACACATCTATTCATCATTACCAAACACACTCACCACACACACACACACACTTGTGAGACACTATTTATTGTAAATGAAGACAAATTTTCCTTTTAACACACTCATGGACACAATCGTATTTTAGGATATTTTCTACTTCTTTTCCTTTTCTTTCTATAGGCCCTTTTTTTTTTTTTTTTTTTCCCTCTCTATTATTTTTGGCCATTTATTTTAAATTTTATTTTGTCCCATCTTTTCTTCCTGACCTTTTGAACTCGTGCAAGATGTACGAAGTTCCCTTTTTACTCTCCTCAAATACGAAATTGCCCCCTTTCTATATACCTTTCCTTCACACCTATGCTAGATTTTTCGCCCATCGGTGCAGAAAGACTTAACGGGTGCAAAACAAGACATCTGTCTACTTTGTCTGTCTGTCTGTCAGGATACAGAGTATATACTCCGTGGTTTGTATGTTAAGTAATACGAACGATGAAGTTGTTTAATCCAGGATTTCAAGTGCGATGGAATTTTCGGAAGAGACATCTATATTTATTTGCGTAACATAGGTGAAACTTCTGCTGTAAAATCTAACTTTTACTAATGCGCCTTTTTTAATGTAAAACACATTAGAAAATGGAAACGTCTTAAATTATATGTTAGAAATGCATGGCTTTTACTCGTCATACTTTTCCGATCTTTTATGTATTGATATAATTCTGAGTTTAGAATTTTAAATGTTCATAGGGGGCATCTGAAGTGTTACAAAAATATGGCATCAGGAGGTTTGTTGTCACCCAGAGTTTCGTACATCATAGCTGAGCTAGAAGATGTAGATTCTGTTTTTGCACCAATTAGGAATGCAAGTCGAGTTAAGGTAATGTTTAAAAATACAGGTAATGCTTGTTTTTCCCATATTCTTGATCTGTTCGTAAATATATAATGGATCATTTTAGATGGATATGTAAATGTATTTGTAATCGTTAATTTGTGTAAATTTGAATCGTTTAGAGCAAGAGTTTAACATTCAGTTTCTGAAAATTTAATTATGATCAGTTAAAATGTAGTAAAAGCCACACTGGCATGTGTTAATTTATAATAGATTAAAATTTATTTAATGTGTTATCATATCTATGCTTGTTGAATTTCAGTATATTATTAAAAAAAAAATAGGGGTAAAGTGCAGAATTGCCCATTTGTATGGCACATATTGATGTGTACATGGACAAAGGGAGTGCACAATGATGTTTTTTTAAGTGAAAATAGGTTGATGTGTACATGGATACCGAGTTTGTGCAATTCTTTGGCTTAATATAATATTTTCAAGTTGATGCAGAATCGCCTATTTATATGGTGCGTATAAGGTACGTGAGATGAGATCGCTTGGGGTCACGTGATATGAAACGTCGAATCAGGATGTTGAACATGAAAGCATAGTAAATTCTTAAATTTATGTCTTTTTACAAATTTATTGTCTTTATTTATTGGCTTTTTTTATAAAATTTTAAGCAATATTAAAATGTTTATGCCTTCAAAAAAAGAATTCTTAGAACTAACATTTTTTTATTATTTTTTATGTCTATACTGTATGTTGTCGCCAATAAAGTCTGCTTGGCGAGATTTGTGCCGGCGAAACGGAAAAGTACTGAATGTTTTTTTATCGTATCATAATTTACAGACATCCAGAAAATTATCTGTTAGATAAAATCATTCCGCCTTTTTAATGGTATTATAAACACATATCTTTTTTTTTAAGAGTTGCATATTAGCTTAGTTTATAAGGTGAGTTATTGTTTTGATATGTTAAGCTCCTATATTCATTTAAGTAAGTTTATGAAAAATATTGAAATGTCTTGTAACTAAAAAGTAAAAAGTAAAAAAAAAAAAAAAAAAAAAAAAGTGCTGAGTGCTTCAAATGTATGCATGGACATAGTCAGAATCGGTGCTAGAGGGGGCAAACAATCTTAGACGGAGCAAATGGAACCATGATATGACAAGAATTAGTTAATCTTCGGATTATGGTAACTTGGTGAAACTTTGGCGACTAACCCTGTTACAGCAACCTGCTAGTTTTTTTTTTTTTTTTTTATGCCATTTTGTTTTTACGTAGTAAAAAGCTTTTTTTTTTTTTTTACTGAACATTTTTTCCCAACAATCTGCTAGCCGAATTACGCTTATGCTAGAACTTTTATGGAACAAAAGTGCTTAATCATGACGAAGATTAGGTGCAAAATTGGGAGAAAGTGCAGAATCGCCCACTGCTTGCCGCGTTTTTAAGAATTACACATACACGGTATCCATGTACACATCAACCTATTTTCACTTAAAAAAACATCCCAGAATTGCACAGGAATAGACTTCTGAACATTTTTTATTTGGTCTTTAATTTATGTTACAACAATTCTTCTACTGTCTTAACTAAATCATTCTAAAACTCCTTTTTCTATTTCTATTCTTGTTTATTGCGCAAGCTTTCGATGCACACTTAACATATACAGCCCATTTAAGTGATTCTCTGTCACTGTAGAACACAATCAAGTTTGTACTCTGCACAGGGTACTAAATGAACGCTCAATAGTACACGTAGTACATGGTTGAGATAAAGATATAAGAAGAGCACATTTCATTTTCTGGGGAAAAATTGTTTCTTTTACAAATCTTCCATAGTTAACTCCTCCATGTTGTCGATATCTGGTTTCTTTATTTTCCAGAAATTATACCAGAGTTCTCTCTCACTGGCAAAATTTTTCAAATTATAAAAAATGCAAAAGCACTCTGCTTTTTGCTAAATTTTTCCACTGGTATCTGTAGCATAGCCACAGTATGTAATAACAACAACAACAAAAAAAATGTTGGTAAATTATTGCTGGAAAATCTTTCTTCCAGTCATAGTAGTAAAGAATCCAGATAAGGGATAGTAAGAGGCCTTTTCCAGAATTCATCGGTTACAGATGCTGGAGGATTTGAGCGATGTTTTTGCAGTATTGTAATTCCCGGTGCTTGCAGTGCCAATGCTCTCAGCCATAGCACGTACGAAAGATAGAATTTCTTGGGTTAAAACATCTGTTGCTCTATAGAATTTCTTGGCTTAAAACATCTGTTGCTCTACAGTGTTCTTTCACAAGCATTCAAATTCTGTTTATGTGATCTATACATTGTAGCATATTTAAACTTTTGGACTGTCAAATTTTAGCCACAGGTTCTAGTAGAACTGAATATTGTGCAATTACTCCTACATACACGATAAATTCAGATTTCATTGTAGTACAATGTAATGAAAAAGTAGTTTTCTGGTAGATGCATTACCTTTTTTTGATAACTTTTTCAGTCCCTGTACTGTGTTTAATAATGCTCTTTAAATATACAGATACTTCTGTATTTCTGAGACCAGCATGTGTCACCTAAGTTTGGAATATTTACTATATATCTTCTTCGTAGAACAAATTCACGAAAAATGTTTATCACATCCTTTACAGTAGCAGTAATATTTCTGATTTCCGATATGCAGTTCAAATCGTTCACAACTAAATTTAGTTTGTCACTGGCACAATGGAAAAACAAGGCTTTTTTATACTTCTGTTGCAAGACCTTCTGCACACCACTAACATTCCTTGCCATAGTTGAACATCCATCGTAACCCTGTCCAACAGATTTATTTCGATAAAAACTTTCCCTTTTCAGAAAAAATGGCTAATTCATTTGCTAGAGTACGAACATCCATTGCATTTAGTTTAATAAATACTAGGAATTTTTCCCGGAAACCATCCTTTCTTCATCAAAAAGTCAAATACCAATTGACAATTACTCCTTCCCAGATATATTGCTTGTTTCGTCTGCCATTTTCTGTAAGCAGAAGCTTTTATTCCATCTTGTACTATAGTGTCTTTCACCACCAGTCTATACAAACTGATGAATTCGTTTTGGATTTGAAGTAACATATAAGTAGAATTTTTACTACCTTGTTTTAAATGTCTTTGCAAACTTTTATCTACTGCTTCGATTCTTAGACAAATCAGGTTCTGATAATTCCCTTCCTGTTTTGTCTGACCCCTTAGAGAGAGATCATGAGTTCCACAAAATATGATTGTGGAAACTATTGAAGCTATTACGTTCTGATTTTCTTCTATTACTTTTTTGTGCCCAGAAACTAGTCTTAACATTTATAGGTCCATTTTCTAGAAACTTCTTGGCGGCGATTACTGATGCTCTATGCCACTGATTTGAAAAATAATTTTTACAAGCTTCATGCATGACATGATAATGCATGAATGGCTTAATAATGAAGGAGCCCAAAACACTTTTCACTGATGCAGAAGCAGGAGGGAAAAGAACACAGTACAAGCATAATGCTCCTTTTACACTTTTTGAATATGCAAGCCGAAAAGCATAAGTCTTTAGCCACTCATGTCCAAACTTTCTTCTCAGTTGGATAGCATCTGCTGCAAAATCATAATTTTCATCAGGTATGCAACAACATTTTAATATTTCCATCTTTAGATGTGAGGCCATTGATAACAAAGACCCTACCCATCTTCCCAAATCATGGTTGCAACATTCCTTAATAGTGTCACTACTATGTGATGTAAATAGAAGCATGACTTTATATAAAGTGGTAGGAAAAGTACACGTTTTCGTTAATTCTTCACTTTTGCCTTCACTATTGTCTTCTATTTACTTCCTCTTCACTGCTGAAATATAATACCAAAATTATTTACCTGTTTGGAAATCAACGTCAAAATCCTATCACGGTGTTTAGGCTTTTACAGTATTAGAGTTGACAAGCATTCATATCAAATTGGGTTAATGCAGCTAAAAGCATTCAGAAGTTATCATATAATATCCATGCACATACGTACAGTCATTATTCAATCAATAACATTCACAAAAGAATTTTTTATTTCTGTCTTTACTAAAATTTAGATCTAAAAATTTTACAAGAAGGGCCTGCATGAGGTATCTCCTGCTTTTAAGCGAATGCTACTTAGCTATCTTTCAATCAAAATGTTTAAAAAGCATTTTATACATTCTAAAATTAATACTGTAACAAATGCAAATAAATTCTAGCTGTGAATGAAATGGATTGCCTGCCTTAAAGAATTATACCTTATAGAAATAATCTACTTTAAAGAATAATATAAGAAACAGAGAAAACTTTTCGCTAACTTGTTAATTGAAATAAAAAAATAAAGTTACATTAATTGGGGGGGGAGAAGTGCAAGTGCATCTAAATGAATGCAACTTTACATTTTGCACCTCCCTGCAACCCCCTGGCTAGTCCCATGAATGTATGACATAAGATTACAAGTATATGGTAGATTTCAAAAGTGTTCTATATCATTTTTTTCCTATGCTTTGTGAGTTTTCACTTGGGAATTTTTAACCCACTTTTATAAAGCAAGAAAGCTTGTTACATTGATTAAATGCTGGTAAAAAAATAATTGCAGAAGTATCTCAGGGATGTACTGCTTTTTAAAATTTTGATAAAATTTTGTGGTACAGTATAACTTATTTATTAAAGCACCCACCGCATAAGCTTGAAGTTTAAAATTTTCATGTTATGGATTAGGCTCTGAAGTTTATTACTAGTTTAGGAGTTGGTGGTGGTATCAATAAATACTAAATTTTTAAAAGTATAAAAAAAAAAAAAAGTATTGATAAGAATTTATTATAAGGGGCAAGTTATTAATATTGGCAATTTTTCAAAAATCTCTTGATATTTATTGCTATTTGCCAAATATTATCAACATATCAAAAGAAAGCAATTTAAAATAAAATTAACATACTACTGTTCGTTAATGATCTGATTATAATTATAGGTTGTAGAATTCATTATTGACGCACTGAAATGTGAAGTTAACATTTCTTTCCATAAAAGTGCAGTAGAATTTATTTTTTTAATTATGTTGTTTTGAATCTTGTTTCTGTTTGTGTTATTGTGGAAATCTTATGCATGAAAATAATGTTCTAATTTAAAGATCGGTTGCTGGTTAGTAAATAATTAGGACTGACATCCAGATTATTTGGTTATTTGTTATTATTTTTTCTTCAGAAAATAAACTGCTAAATATGTTAAAAAGAAAATAATAGTTTTTAAGTCTTTTTCAGGAACTACTCTTATATGCGCCCTCAGGTCGCCCAATTTCTCGCCAAGCATTTTTGGTGAGAAACTCCATGCCGCCATATTACTACCTAAATTTTTTTGTCTACATTTTGAATTTTAAGCCTAAAATATCTCCATAAATGTGGTTTTCGCACATGCAAAAACCACATTTTAAAGACACAATTTAAGCTAAAAATCCGAAACAAAAGCAAAAAATGTAGATAGCAAAAACAAGAAGTTTCTAACCAAAAATATTTGAACAAGACCCCAAGTACACAGCAATACATTTCAACTTCAAAAAACATCTACGAATTGCACATTTTAGGCAGTGAAGGAATCTACGAACTACGCACACCTCGCTTCAATAAATTAACATAACAGCAATAAATTTCAAAGAATACCATGTACACAGCATTCTGTTTAAACTTAAAGAAACATCTACAAATTCCACAATCTAGGTATTTGCAAAAAAATAAACTAAATGATAGTACAACGATTTCAAAAAAACAACAATAACAACAGAAATTCTACAAAAAACAACGAACATAAATCACAAATAAAACAGTAAAATAAAATGCACTTACCATAATACATTCCTGAATAAAATTTCGCCCGTCACGCAACATCTCTGAACAAAAGTGCCACAATTTTGCTATATCACGTCTTTGAGATTCAAAATTTCGAAAGTAACGATAAAAACATCCTCAAAATTGACAACTACACAAAAAACCCAATTGAATCTTAAACTCAGCTGACAGCCACTATTTACCGCAACCCATTGACTGCAAATTCACACAGAACTATCAGAAACCCTCTTGTCCGAGACCTCATGCAGCTCCGCATTTGGACTCGTTTTTAAAAGTCCCATAGAATTGCAAAAATACACAATCCTCATAATACACCCGTGAACAAAAACTCGTAAAACTCCAACATCATACCTTTAATACTAAATTTACCACATAATCTAAAATGCACGACTGAAATCTTGCCACCACGTCTATCATTGCAGCATAGGCCATTTCAAAACACGCACGACACGAACCAACAAGCAATTAAACCACTCCAGCAAAAGATTTTTCAATGTCAACAGGGTTGCCACACAACACGCAATCATGCCAAAAACCAACGCAAAGCACATATCGCCACATTTGGTGATATTAGGGCGTATATAAGAGTAGAGCCCTTTTTCATTTCTGTTTTATATACATGTATAATTTTTGCATGTGTGAGAACAAAATTCCTGTAACTTTTGAAATATGTCTTTCAGTACACGTGTTTTGATGTATCCCGTCACTACATTGTATTTGGTACAACTGCAGGTGGCATTGTTATATTACAGCATGACAGTTTATTGTACATAAAGACATTAACAGCTAAGGTATATTTTACATATTTTTTATTGTCTATTTTGTATTTTCAGAATCAATTTAAAGTCAGAAAGCTGTATATATTATTGTATCTTTAAACTATGTACTGAAATTTAAATTTGATACTTCCTATTAACTCCACACTAGGTGATGTTTTGGTTCTTTTCGATTAAAACCATTCAACTCATTTTTGACTCCATATTGCTGCATTTTGGTTTATTTCTTTCTTCACACTTTTGTCTGGATGGTAGACAAAAGGAATTTCTGGGAGCAGCAGCAATGAATCCTTCTCTAATTTCATAACAAAAATCCTTCAAAAACCCACTGAAGTGTGTGTCTGGGGGTGGAGATTGTGGCCTACATTATTATTTACTATTATTTGTCTATTTCCGCAGTTTTGCAGTTTTAATGTTATGAACTACAGTCATAACAGTCAATTAGTTAGAATGAACTACAGTCAAAGTCTGTAATCTGGACTCGTCGGGACTTCGGCGATTCCGGATTATCGGTTTTCCCGGATTATAGATCATCAGTTTAAATCTGGTAAGATGGCATGCAGAAATTGTAAAATTAAAACTATGAAACTGTAATTTATGAAATAGAGAGCAATTATGATCTAAAGGGTATCAAAATTTACAAAAAAAAAAAAGCTTAATATTTATTTGTTTACTTTATTAAACATTTCTTTCAACGCGCATTGTGTAAGCATACATTACGCTAGTCGAAATTAGAAAATTGCAACCGAAAACTATTTGATGGTATTCCTGATATTTATAATGACGAGGGGAATTGATTTCATCATATCAAAGACAAAGTACATCGAGATGAAATACTACATTTAGTAAGGAATTATCAGCTGAATAAAATAAAAACATCTGCCCTGAAGATAAGGATAGTGCTGACAGATCAACTTCCAGTTCATTGCGCGCCATGTCGTCAACCCCCCCCGGCAGAGCAGCGTGAAATTGATAATGCAAAGAAATGCATGACAAAATGCCATCATGCAGGCCCAGAAATAAGTGCCTTTCTTGCTAACACGTATGCATGACAGTCAGCGCAAAAGGGTTAAACTTATTTTCTTGAATTATTCTAACTTAATTAACCTACTCTCAAGGCAAGTTAAAAATGACATCAAAAACTGTGAATTTTGAAATTAAATATCCTGGTTAATTTTTCTCTTGCAGGTGTCAGACTTCTTATAATTTTATTTTTTTCTTAACGAGTATTCAACTTTCCCAAATATAAGTATAGAAATTCAGAACTAGATATCAGTATTCTTTAATTTTTTTATTATTATTTTTTATTTATTTATTTATTTTTTTAAATTTGACATTATTTAAACATGAAAATTTTCGTCCTTTAAAATACTTCCATAATTGGAAATATATGACCAATGGATTGTGAAAATTAAGGCCAGGTAAGGGTGAGACAGAGAGAGAGAGACATGTTTGGTACTGCTGATTGCATTTTAAAAAAGGAAGATGCATAACTACCTGTTACAACAGTCCCATTTACAAGTTTCAATGTTCTACAGCTAATTGTTTTTGAGTTATGCAGAATATAAATATACATTCCCATATAGGTGCAGACATCATGAAAAAGCCTATTTTACAATCCATTCTGGAATAAAGAGTCCTTTATTCTGCTCGTATGTACAGCCATTGCATTCATTTACTTTGTACAAGGAAGTAAAAAGGATTAAAATTTTGGACCTACGTTCTACAGAAAAGCAAGTAGTGGAATATTTTTAAAGCTGTGCGAGATTAGTTATACTGGTATGTATACTCAAAACATTAAAAAAAAAATACATACGAAGCAGTGAGATAGAAGACATTGTGGGACTACACGACACCACTTAGATTCCTGTATAAGTGAATTTACGTGTCAAGTTTAGAAAGATGACAGTTTTATTGTTATTAGAACCATTACTCTCAGTCCTCACTTTTTTGTCCAAATCAGTTTTCAAATAAAAGGATAAGTGGATGCTGTCACTAAATGTTATTGCCATGTATTATTTTTAAAGAAATATTAGAACAAATGTAAAAAATGCTTGCCAACACTTAATATTCTCTTAAGAATTCTAAAAATATGTTAAGCATTTTATGATTTTGCTGTTGAATTTTATGTGGGATAAGTGCAAAGAAAGTGATGTTTAAATAATAAATCGAAAAAGACAAAAAGTTGTGTAAATCATGTTACTGAGAAGACTGATCATGATGCGACGAACTGAAAAAAGACTAAAAGAATAAATTAAATAACTAAATAGAATTTAAATGTATGGCAGCATTGATATATATACTCAGACACAATGATTATAGGAAATTCTGAATTGTGTATCTGGAATTCTAAGGCAACATGTTGCCACTCAACAGGGCATAAAGTATTTATATTTCTTGTTAAATGAAAAGACTTAGTGATATAATAGAAATGTGTTGCCACTTGGGAAATCATGAGATATTTGTCTTTCAAATTCAATAAAAGAACTCAGTTGTTTAAAAGAAATGTGTTGCCACTGCCTGATATAAATATTTTTACCTTCCATGTGCCAGTTTGTTGCCATTCGAAGCATAAGATGTTTAATTTTTCTTTTTAAGTTTAATATACCAGTTATTGATTAACAAACTAAGTGATTTAAAAATGATTTGAAAACTATAAACTCAGTTTTCTTTAAATCTTTTATTCCTTACCAGCTCGACCCATGAAGTGACACTAGCTGGATTTATTAAATGTTATTTATTTTTCTTTTTTATAGTGACTATTTTAATTGCCTGGCTGCACCAGCAGCTACTTATTTAAAAGGTGATTCAATGTAAAAGTCAGGATCAAGACTTATAGCACTTCTTGGCTAACAAATGTATTGCAACACTTAACACTGTATTAGAAATTCTAAAGATATGCTGCTGATAAAAATTTTGTGATTTTTATGTTGAAGTTTGTGCACGCACCATAAAGTAATGTTAATAAAAGTTCAAATGATAAAAAATTTGTGTTGCCAAGAGCGACTGCAAGAACAGTTTGATACAGTATGAGTACAGTAAAAACATAAAGAAACTGAACAAACCCTCTAGTGTGATATTAAAATCTGAATCCTTTCAGATTCCCTTCCCCCCCTTTTTTTTCTTTTTATTTGGGATTTTTGACTGTCAAAATGATTAGTGCTAGTTTTAATAAATTTCTTAGGTAAATAATCTCAAAGACTGAGCTTACAGTTCTTTGAAGTTTTGTATCCCATATTCATAACTTCTGTCTGTTGATTATCTAATTAAATAAAGAGCATTTCCACCGGAATTATTGATGCAGTTTTGGCAGGTTCTTTACAAACTTTTGCTAATGAAAAGTGATTGTCAGGTTTTCCCATATGCACCTTCATTTTAAATAAATTGTGTGCAGATTTGTATTAAATAAAAGAAGTACAAATTAATATTAAATTGTTTTTCTATATGTATATTATATAGATTTTCTACTGCAAACATTGATTGAATTGCTTGCGTGTATTGCTAAGAGTGTTTCTTGTCAGTGCTAAAATGTGCCGATTCCCACTTCTAGCCAAGGCCTGCGTAACCAATAAGTACCAAATATTCCTTGAAATTCAATATCCAGATCAAGTTGTACCTGTTCAATTAATCTTGTGCAAATTTTCAATTTAAAATCCTATCCTAATAGAGTGCATTGCTTCTCAAAATTCTATCAAAATAATACTATTTTTCATCTTTCTTTGCCTATTTGTTAACGACAAAAATATTATTTTAATATGTTATGACATATTTCAATACGTTATGTTTTAATGAAGCATAATATTTCGTAATTTGATTTTTTTTTTTTTTTTTCCCATTTGAAATAATATAATTTTCTGTATGTAGGAAGGACCTGTTTGTCAAGTTGTTTTGGCTCCAGATGAAAACATTATTGGGTTTGCAACTAGGTAAACTGTATTTTAAGTAAAATTATATCAATTCTTGTAGTATAGAATAGAAAGAATGAAAAATGCAAAAAATTAATGTTTTTTGATACATATAAAGTATATTTTCCTTTACAGTTTTTAGTATTTTATTTTAAAAGTTCTTTTTAAAATTTTCATTAGTTCATTTTTCAAAAATTATTAATGCATTCATATATGTGTACTTTTATAGATCATTTCAGTAGTATAACTTTAAAAATAATAATCTATTATGAAAAAAAATAATTTCTTGTTCATTTTTAGTAGGGGAGTTGCTCTTGTTATGGAGCATAATGCTGAACGGGGAGCCACTCAACCACAAAGGTTGCAATTATCTTATGAACACAGAGGGACATTAATAAGTTGTATGCATTGGAATATGTCTTCTTCTAAATTGTTTATTGGAGATGATAAAGGCAAAGTGTCTGTTATCAATGTTTCTGTTTCAAGGGTAAGTTTTGATTGCTTGTATGTTTTGCATTAACTTTGCTGTCCTTTCTCTGAGTTACTAGTATTAATGTAAATTGTTTTATTGTACTAAAAAGTGTCTGTCTTTTTTTTTTAAAATTAAACGCTTTAGATAAATATTTTTTCCCTATTTATATATATATATATTTGAATACTTCTTTTAAATTTTAGTTTATTTTGCAATTATTTTTGCATTATTTAATATACAGTATATACTGTTCTCTATTTAATATATTGTGTGTGTGATCATACTTTTAAAAGATTCATGCTAATTCCATGATATACGTATTATTTACATGATGTACAAAATGTCAAGTTTTATAGTCTGTATATCATTTTACATAGCTCAGATGTAACCCTTCTGTGTGAGATGACAGACAGCAATGTGGTAAAATCCCTCTAGACTTTGTATAATATTTCAGGGGCCATTGTCATTATAGCTTCTTTGATTATTTCTTGACAGGTTATATGGTTATTGGACAAGTCAAACAACAAGAATCAGTGTAATATTTGTAAATTTTGCAGGACTAGTTTCAATGGTTTTAACTGCAAAACCATCGAAACTAGTCCTGCGAAATTTACAAATATTGTGCTGATTCTTGTTGTTTGCCTTCTCCAATAATCATTATTGGGCGTGCTACTATAATATAGGTTATATGTTATAAGTGGCATGAATACATTGCTTTTGATGCACACTACTTAAGAGAAAAAATTGCAAAGCAATATTCAGAGGGCTATGCCATGAAGATGGTCACGTTTCCTCATATGTAAATTATTCAGTGTCTTGAAAGCCTTTGAGTGTATACACAAATTTCAATGTTATAATGAGGTAGTGCATAGACGTTTTTATACCAGATGTTGCTGATACATCACAATCTTTACTGATTTTATAAAACATATGAAACAGTGGTTCTCAACCTGTTTTGCCTCATGCACTCCTTCACCATCACTAGAAGATTATCACCCCTTCTTTTCAATACTAAAAAAATAATGGTACAGTTCTGTTATTGGGACCGGATTAAAAAATTATGTATGTGTACACATGCATACATTTGTACATACACATATCTATGCATACGTTTTTGAATCTGGTCCTGATAACAGAACAGTACCAAAATAACTGTATGCATTATTTAGATTTAAATTATTTTTTAATGTGTTTTATAAATTAAACAGTAAAAAGTATAGAAAATTTTGATAAATGCCAAAGCTTGAATAAAAGTAGTTTTTCATAAACTAAAATTAAATGCAGGTGTTCCTGTTATCACACAGTTTCTCTCCTACACTATAAGAAAATTGTGGAAATCCTTTTATACCACTGCAACACAATTTCTCTCCAGCACATTAATGAATATGTGTTAACAGTCTCATAGTATTTTATGTATGTATATATTTCTATAACACAATTTTTATTCTAATCATTTATGATTAAGTTATGTGTAAGGCCATCATGTGTAATAACAACCTATTTATTTATACACAAAAAAATATATTCTGGGAATACCCACTTTCTGTCAGATCACAACTCTTTTGAAATATTTCAGTCCTTAACTACATCTGAAAGTGAGAAAGTAACTTTGGTAATTGTATATTATACCATTAATCACAAAACTGTGTCCAGAAAGCATGATTCATTGTCAGATTTGGATAAGCAGGATGTAACAATACATTCATAGGATCTACGTTTTTGTTTGGTATAATCTTGATTGATTTCCAATAAGCCACATTTTGTTTTTATAAATTATTTGTTATTGCTGTCTTTTTTCCTTCCATTTAAAAAAAAAATTAATAAAATGTGGGATCTGTCTTTTATATAATAATAAGCAGTGGATTAATTACAAAGTTATGGAATCATGCCATCGAAAAAAGTGGGGATTAATGGTTAGCTGAGTATGGTTAACAATATAATCGACCATATTCAGTGAATAATAAAACAATAATGAAACAGAATAGCATATTAAGCAGAGCTTGCAATAAAATTGAGGGGCCTAATAAAATAGTAGCAGTCAATGAAACCTTCTTGCAAAACACAGAAACCAAACAGGTTGAATACCGGTTGTTTATTCAATAAAAAGGCATCCATTCGTTTAAAATTCTGCAGAAATGATTTGCACAACTCTGATAGGATCTCCTCCAACTTTCAGAGTTCAATGGTAACTAGATTTCACGGTTTATGGGATATATCTATCAGTTAAATCTTTTATTTAACTGATAGATAAATCAGGAATCTATCTATCAGTTAAATCAAAGTTAACAGCATTCTCTTGAAATATGACATACAGCAGAAAATTTATCTCTGGCTGATAACCCCTGATATAGAATGAATGCTGTCATTTCTGTCATGACTGGGCATCTGATGCAACTGCGATATGTATAGATGCATTTGTAACTGTTCTGTAACATTTTGCTAACGATGTTATGCAGTGTCAAAATCAAATTGTCAAATCAGTTAGCATGTACAATATAGGAACAATGAAAAGGCCTGTTTATTTTTTAACAAAATAGGAAAAAGTAACAAAATAAAAAATATTAAAAATAAATTTTAATTTTTTTTATTACTAAATATTTATTAAAATGTGGCATAAATGTAAAGGGAAAAAAACTCAAATTTTTACCTGCAAGAGGTATTTGTTGGTTACATTATAACAATTCAGTTATATTATAATTCAAACATACTGACAGCTAAATATTAAATTTTTAAATTGGCATTCCTATCTAATAATTCTAGTATGTTTAATGAATCATTGAATAATTCAAACTAAAAATAAGCAAATTATGAAAAATTTGTACGTTTTCAGAGAAACATTTCCAAGTGAAACAAAAGCTGAGAATAAATAATGACAACCTAATCTCTTTCTGTTATTTATTAAATTTTTCTTCAGGGCATAAATAAAAATACAATAATTTTTTGCAAATAATTGTAAACTCTTTATTTCTTATTACAACTGGACACTTGATGGTATAGTTTGTTAAAGTTTTTAATGTTGTGGAGAAGTTACTGGAAATTATCTTCATCATGAATTATAGATTCTTTTCTTATCAGTTTTCAACTGTGGAAAAACATTCTTCACGTATTAATGCCCTTCTTTTTAGAAAGATTCTCAAACTATCAATGTTTCCAGTAAGTTTGGTAAATGGTATCAACATAGGAAAAGAAAACATACTTTAGCAATTTAAAATATAAATTTTAATTATTAAATAAGGATTATGTCATACATTAAAAAATAAAACGCATTCTTCTTTAATTTTTTTTTTTTTTTTTTTTTTTGTTATTCTTCTGAAGTATACAGCAATCTGTTTTCATTTAAAAAAAAATCGGAGAGTTGCTGAGACTCGGCTTTGTGCAATCTTTAACAGTAGTTATCTAGAAAGCGTATTTCCTCGTTGTTGTTCCCTTTAGAAAATTTTCAGCAAAATTCTGTATTACTGCTGAAATTTTATCATAGTTTCTTCCACTGTTGGTGAATTCCACAGGTTGATATTTTAAAACTGAGTTTAAGGCAAAAGATATCATGATTTGTGTATAAAAATTGTCGGAACTTGGAATACAACAAAACAGAACACATACAAAAATGGCAGCGTTGCTTGAATGAAGATTGTTATGAGCTTGGTTGCCGGAAGAATGGGTATCTGCATGGTTGCCAGAGTTTGGCACTTTCTGAAACTTTGGCTACTTCTGCGATAGTTCATGAGTACCTCTGTATCTTGAAATCTTTGAGTAAGATTTATATCACATTATAAATTAATTAACTACATTTATAGATTTTCTGACACATTGTTCATGTTCATTTTTAATGGGATGAAAATAATATAAACTTAAACTTTAAATAACTGAAAATCAGTACTAATGTATTATCATAACCACCTTAGTAGAAATTTTCAAAGCTTCAGAATGCACCAGACTCTGGTAACCAATCACATAACAATTATTCAGGCAAACAATGCACATTTTTGTTGTTGTTGTTGTTGTATTCTAAGTCCCAACAGCTTTTATAGAAAAATTATGATTATTTTTTATCTTATATTTACAGGGTTGCCACACTACCTGGAAAACCAGAAAAAGTCAGGGAATTCGAAAATTGACCAAAAAATTCAGGGAAAAGTCAGGGAATTTAAATAATTTAGTAAAAATCTGGAAAAGTCGTGGAATTTCATATGGCTGTTCCTCCCAAAAAAGCGATTTTTTTGCCGATGTTGGAAGCGATCACTCTCTTGGCGAATTATGTATCACGTGAGCATCATTCAGCCAGCTGGCATAGAGCCAATTTTCGCAGCTCTAATCAGATGGTCTTGAGAGAAAGGCAGCAAGTTTCCAGTAACCTCAAGTATCGAGAGACTTCAATGCGCATATGCAATGTATGTTGAACTAAGGAAAAGATGTATTCTCGTATGAAATCGGTTTAATCCTAGCATAGGGTACTTATGGAGGTTAGAATAGCCTTCATGTACCATATACACGGGATTTGGGGATATTATGATGAGCAGTAAATGGACCATTTTGGTGTTGGCAACAATTTTCAAAATCGTGCCAAGGCCATGGCGTATACTAGGATTTTACCACAAAATCTTTTTAACCCCCTTTTTTTAATAAATGCCTTATTTGTCATTTTGCAGTAAAATAAAAAAATAGTAATCAGTCACCTAGGCTAACCATTTAATGTAACTTTCGCCAAAATATTGTTGATTATTCTAATTCAATTTTTAAATAATTATCGTTATTTTAATGTTATTTATGTCATTTAATGTTGCTTCTTCTCTCTAAATTTATTTATTAGTAAATAAATACTTTCAAATTTCAGTAAATTTTCTCTGCATAATCCTGAAATTAATTCTAGCAGTATGATGACATACCATCACGAAATTTAATGCACATATTTTTTGCTTATGCATGCTACTAAATTAATATAAAATACCTGAATTTATTTAAAAATATCATTAAATTGATTTTTCTTTCGTTTATCTGCAAAAAACGTCTGCAAAAAAAAGGCTTTTTTTTAATCCAGATTGGGCAGATCATAATCTCAATCTTCAGTGGAGAAAACAACTCCTATTATAGTTATAATACTAATGCTTTGTAATCTAGAAATTCTGCATAAAAAACATTTCACCTATACTTTATAATTTACTTCCGCATGATTTCGGTAAGCTACTTTGAAGTACATGCTTGGTATATTTATTGGAAACTGGTAGATAGATTTTTTTTTGTTGTTGTTTTAAATTTCAATTCAGATGTAAACAGTTTAATGAAAATTATTGATAGCATGTTTTTTTAGGTCAGTTTGCTTGCAGGTGCTTCTTTTTCCTATTAAGTCAAAAAGAGCGTAGTATGATGATTTTTATTGAACTAAAGCAAGTAACAAATTATCTTAACACCAGATAATTCCATTTTGCTACGAATTATATACTGCTCTTTTCATGAGAGATTCACTGTACTGGAAGTAACTATTCAAAATAAATAAATAGCATAATGTTATGACCCAGATATTAACTGTAATGAAAGTAATTTAAAATGTGACATTATTTTAAAGGATTACTGTATTTTATTTTAACTGTTTTCAAGAATTTTTAAGTTCATCAGATAATTATCATGTTAAATTTTAACGTGCTTGTTAGAGAGAATAAGCTTTAGATTATTTGATAATATCTAATAACTAACTAAATTTCAAAAGATGACAGCTAAATCCTTTTCATATGCCACATTACCTTATTAATAATTATGAAACTAAAATGAACCTCAACTTGATGCACATTATGTATTAAATAATGTGTCAGAAGTATTCTTTAAACTATAGTATTTTTTAAATAGTTTTAGCACTTTTTATCCATAATGAAAGTGGAGATATTGGTATATAAAATTATTTGCTGAAAGATCATCAAGTATCAATAGATTGAAAATAAAAGGTGGGAAACTGTATTATATCATGTACTATAACAATATAAACTGTGTGATGTATTAAATGCTATAACATCAGTACGTTTAAAGTAAAGAATTGCCAAGACATGAAAATGAGTTAGGGTATTAGAGTGTAGTGCTAGACAGTAGAGGTCAGTGTGGATGGATTTGAAAAGGCATCATTATAATTTATTTGAAAATCAGAGAAAATAAAGTGTTTAAATAAAAATTGAAACATTCCTGTGCTTAAGGAACAATAAAACAGCTTTCATGACTTATTTAATTTTCAGAAAATACTTGAAAGTACTTGATGCCAGGATGTGTATAGAGAAAGATATCCTCTGCATGTGTAAAAAGCAAAACTTTTGTCCAGTGTTGATACCGAGTTCTCCAAGTGAATTTAATAGCTGCGTTGTAACTTTTATATCAGGGTGTTATTCCAATTTTAAAAGCATACTTTTGGAAAAGGCTTTTCCATCAGGCGTTTCTTCTGCATACTAATCCAAATACAGCTGTTTCAAGACATAATTTCAAACTTCTGTATAGTATTCAAACTTCTGTATAGTGTATAATTTGGCTGCATCTTTGGAGTAAATTAGTCATACATTGGCACCAGTTAATTTGAAGAAGCTAGGTTAAATGAAAGTGGATAGTAACAAATATGGTATAGGACGAGAAGGAAGAAAGTTGCATGCAGTGTGATGGAGACAATTTGCAAGAATTTTTGGTACTCTTCTGTTACTAGAAACCAGACTCTGAAATGTATGTGTTCCTGTATTCATGTGTATATGTGCATTCATATGTATGTATGTGCACATACATATATATGCATATACATGTTCATACATATATACATACATTTCTAAATCATGTCCCAATAAAAAAAAATACTGAATGTTTTGATTTTAATGGGAAATGTGAAGGTTTCATAGATATAGAAGACACTGTAAAATTAGTCTAATTACGGTCACTACAAACTCTTGAACACTCTGTAAGCAAGATTGTAGTGTATCAGAGAGTCGAAAGATGGTGGAAGATCTTCTTACAGTGAGGCTACAAATGCCCTATCCACATTTTGAGCATTTATTGAAAATGTTCCTGATGTTTTCTATATACATTTTAAAAACTATTACAGAAATTGAATCGCTGTCAATAAAACCAAAATAAAATTTGACTAAACAGTTACTTCTAGATTTTATTTTTACCATCTTTCCTTGAGTAAACAGTTTATATATAAATGAGATGAACTGGTTTTTATTTCTCTTTATTAAATGTACTAGTTGCTATTCCATTGCTTTTAATAAGCTTTACCTTCTAATCAGTGTTTCTGGTTCAGAAGTTTTTTATCTTGTGCCTCATGAGAAGGTTCCTAAGTTCCTTCAACTGCATTGAAACTCAAAAGAGGAATATAATGTAAAGAATGGCATTATATTTTAAATCATTTGAATTTTAGAATTTTACCTGTTGTGATTTTATATTTAAGTTTGTCAATTGAAGAGCTCAAGAGATAAGAAAAAATTATGAAGCAGTTTTGATTTAATAAGTGTTAATATTTTAATAGTCACCAATGTAATATTTTGACTAGTACTTCATAATGGTCTTTCAATAGAACAGATTTTAAGTCCATTTCATTTTGTTTGTTTTCCCACAATGAATTATTAAAAAATTTATAAATTTTTGTTACTTTCAAAGTGAAATGTGTCATAAATTTCCTTTTTATTAATATAGACAAGGAATTTTTTTCAAGTTCCTACAACTACACTCATGAAATTAGATTCTAAAGTTGTACAGTTAGATTTTGCCCAGGATCATTTACTCGTCTCTACCATGACTAGGTGTTACCTCTGTGATACTAACAAGTAATTATAATTTATTTCTTCTTCATGTTTGGCTAACATTTTTTTTTCAAGATTTAATTGGAGTAATATTTATGCATACTGTGTTACTGATGTATAATGCTATTTAACTGTACTTTTGAATGTGCTGCCAATATTGAGTCGTATTTGAAAAATTAATTTTTTGAATAAACTGTAAGAATAATGCAGGGAATTAAAATAAGAGTGGTGATACATATATATATATATATATTGTCCATTGTGACTTCATTGCTATATATATATATATAAGAGTTTGTTTCGTAATGGTAAACTTTGTCTTTTGTTTTATATTAAAATGGGCTTAAGATTGAAATTTACTAATTATTAAATTAATGTGTAAATGTACTATTTACATCTTGTTTATTAAGTTAGATGTTAAGAAGCCTGACATTTTAAGACAAATTTCAAATAAGATTCATAAAATTAATGGTTGTATTTACTCTTTGTCAAACACTTTAATCATCTGAAAATGTGAACATTTAGGTAAATAACATTAGATATTTAAGTTTATGGGGTGTCACATATTATAAATCACATTTAAAAGTTTTTCAGATATACTCTTATTTCCTTTTTTTTTTTTTTTTTTTTTTTTTTTTATTATAAACACAAACAATTCCCTGTGTACCACAACAGAAGTAAGTATGAAACAGAATATTAAAAATAAATAAACGATAAAGAAAAGGTTAATATGAAGAATTTGTAATTTGCAGTTACAGTAATTTAGGAAAGATTTGTAATTTACTAAAATTACAAAAATAGTCAAAGGAACTTCTCTCGGAAATAAATTGATGAAAACTGGAGGCCAGTTAGAATTAATATTTTTAAGTGCCAGTTTTTAGACCTTTCTTTACACTGTCAAATTTGGAACACAGAAGAAGCATATGCTCAATTTTCCTCACCACTGATCGTATAAAAAAAATCTCTGGAGCCAACTTAAATCTGCTCAGAAATTTCCATGGTCACTAAGGAAATTGGTCATTTAATAACTTATAAAAAATTAGGTCAATCTCTTTTTAATCTAAGGGAAAATTCTCTTAGTTAAGCTTCCTTTATTTCAGCTAATGTATTCTTGATTCCACAATATTTTTATTCATGACCTTATTAAAGAATGTAGAAATATTGACAAAAGTGTCAATTTAGCAGTCTTTGCAAGAAAATTGACCCATTCATTCCCAGCAACACCTGTAGGTCCATAAACAAATGCAAAAGCAACCAAAATGTGTTTATCTTTTAGGTTTTTAAGTTGCCTTGCATTTCCAATATTTCATAGCCAAACCACTACATTGCATCTAAGCATGAATTGTGTATCCATTTCTTGTATTTTGCTTCATCTTACTTTATTGATGTATATATCATAAATTCTTTCCTTTAGTGATCAGACCATAGAAAAAAAAAACAAGTGTTTTATGAACAAGCTAAGGTTGAAATAAGTGAAACCATGGTGTTATTTAGAAGTGAGCTCTGAATGTATATAATTATTTATACATCAGTCACTATATTGTGTATTTTTAAAGTAAATTTATATTTGATAAAATTTTGGATCTGACCTTGAAAATAATAATGATAATATATATATATAGCAGTGGGGTTTTTACACATTAGTCATGCCCAGTTGATTTGATTCTTTATTTAAGGCATAGCATTATCAAAGTAAACATATATAACTAAATTGGAGTAAGAAGCATATCTGTTATTCCCTGATTAATAAGTGTGCATTTCATGTATTCATAACATTACAACTGGTGATGAAAGCAGCAGACTACATGTTAGCTGGACAGAGGTGAGCATAAGAAAAACAAAGATTATTTTACTGAAGTTAGATGAAAGAATGTTGAAATTGTATCAGTTGTCAACAGATGGACATAGTATCATTTTATTGCTGTTAGTTGCCCCACCAGTGGCCAAGTGGTTAAGACTGATGAATACTAGTGGTTTGCAATGGGTTCCAGTCCAGGCAGGCTGGCTCCATTATTGATTTTCATGGTTTACCCTATGTGTTAGATGAGACATTTTCCCTTGGAAGGTCGTCCACGAAGGCATCCCTTCCCTATGGTAGATAGCCCTTTTGTGTACTTTGGCATATCAAATAACCTTATCTAACCTAATCTATTACTCTTAGGTAATAAAAGTTTCAGTGTGATTACACTGTAGAAGACCTGAAATACACACAGCCTCGTAGATGTCAGGAGGGAAATGCCAACAATGAAATGCTTTGGTGATTTTTATTCACACTGAAAACTATTAGTGAAATTATTGGTTTCCTCATTCAGTATTGAAACAAGTTATTATATTCTGTTGATTATCACTTTTACAACTGTTGATGAATAAATATTTTACTCAGAGCTGCTAATTGTGTTCGTGTAACTAAAGATTAACCCTGTGTTTTTTTATTCAAGCAAGACTACAGTTTGGAATTTTGATAATCTTTCATTAGTAGGACTGCAGCTGAGATGAGCATAAGTGTGATTGAAATGAAGCAGTTTTATAGTGCAAAATGTGCCAAGTATTTCAATCCAAAAACTTTTTTCATGTGACATTTTGACTAAACCAAGATTGATTTTTTGGCATTCACTAGATGGTGAAGAATTTGCTATTAAATTCTTTCAGCAAAAGAGAAAAATAATCAGGAAAAGTACATATAATCAAGATTTTGTTTTCAAACAATGATGCGTCTTTTAAATGTATTGTTAGTGTCCAAATCATTATTCCAGATTACATTTCATGCCAATATTAATGTGTAACAATTGCTGTCCCTTTATTGGTAATGTAATGAGAATTTTTTTAAACTTTCATTAGAATTATTTATTTATTTACTTGAACAAACAATACTGTCTTGTCATATCAGAATGGTACTTTCTAAATAAATTACCAATAAATATGCAAACAGTAGCAAAAAAATGAATTTGGAGCTGTAAAATCATCTGAATGATCAGGAAATAATGTCTGTGTAATTTAAGGCAAAAGGGATTCAGATATAGAACATCCCAGATTTTTAAAACTAACTGATCTAAACAGATGCTTGAAAATATAAAAAATACTATTTATATGCTACCTTTAAATTAAATTAAAATATATTTAATATATATATATTTCTCTTATAAAAAGTTAAAAAGAAATTACTTTAGTGTGATATTCTTGAATTATTTATTCTTCCTCTTTATAATCTGAAGGTAATTATATTTAATTTATAACCTTAAATTCAAAAGACTCTAAAAAGTTGTTACTAAAAAGTTGTCTAAAAAGTTAGCCACCACCTTTTGATTTAATTATGATTTCTTGATTATTTAATCAATTTTGCAACATGCTCTGCAGCTTTTAATAATCTTCAACTTGAAATTTTTAAACTCAGTTTTGAAGTTTCTAAATTCATATATTGTTTCATGCATATGAGTTTGTAATGAATTGAATGCACACATAACCAGTGATAGCTTGATAAAATTTATTTTAGTAAAATAAACACCTCTGGAACTTTTCACAGAAATACACTATTCTCAGTATGACAGAGCACAATCAGTAGTTACCACTTCGAATTCTTAGAAAATTAAACATTGCACAAAGCAAAGCACATCCAAGAGCAAAGCTCATCCAATGTCTCAATGCTCCAAAGTCAGCTATGAACTAAAAACTGAGAGCAGATGCTGTCTCCTGTCTTTTATAGTTTTCACCTGGCAGCCAAGAAATCTCTAATAGTACCTTCCATTTCTCGAAATTACCGGAAGGCAGATATGGTTAAGGTTACATCTAAGGGCCAGATACAGTTACAGTTACATGTAGGGGTCAGTTACAGTTATACAGGGACTGGACCAAGATGTTGCTGAATGATCACCAAATTTAGAAACAAAAATTAAGTCATCAAAACCAAGGCCATCTTGGTGATATCTCACTATTTTAGTGAGATAGCCATTTACCTCAGTATTAAATAAACTTACCCCTGTCTTTTTTTTTTTTTTTTTGATGAAGTTTTGCCTCTTCATGTTGCATTACACAAAATATACTTCAGTTTTGCATATAATTTTACTAAAATTATTTACAAATATGCAAAAAGCATTTTAAAAATTTAGAAACGTTGGTAGAATTGAATGCAGTTTGTGAAAAAGTTATTCCCATGAAGTTTTTTGGGGGGGTCAAAGGGAAAAAATGCTAAAATTTTCGTTAATGGAGAGTGCCACACAAACGCAGTAACAAGAAATATGTAAATCAGAGTTCTATAAATTGTAGGTGTTATAATTAACAGCTCACTTCTGACTTTTTATCCTACTTGACCTTACATAAAGTTTTAATTGTGATGCTGATATTAATGGATAAATCGTTATTAGTGAAGTTGTTTTACTTTAGCCAAGAATCGTCAACTAAAGCATTGTCATTGTGGCACAGAAGGGATGGAAGAAGGGTCTAATCATTCTTGTTGGATTGACTTCCCTGGTACAACATTTCAAAGAAACAGGATGTTTGTGTCATTGCCTTCCTGTAGAGGTGTACCAAGTTTATCAGAGGTCCATAGTTCCGATGTGGCTTTGCAAATTGATACTTCAAGGTGCAGAACAATCAAGATGTGCAGTAAATAGTACACAAAGTGGCTCGGAATACTGATATACCTAAGGCATCAAAATTCAACAGCCTTCACAGTGTTTTAAAATTGTTCCCCTACAAGTTGCAATCAGTCCGCCAGCTCTTATCAAATGACAAGCAATATGAATTCGCAAATTGGGCTTTGTCAAATTCACTGCTATTAACTGTTTGGTGTAGTTTCACTATATTCATTATTGTGGGCCCTTTTTTCTTTGAAGAGTGCTGTGCAAAAGCTGGCTGGAAGATTTGCTCAGCTACTGTAAAACACTACTTGAAACTGCTGCAGACGAAAGTGATACCGCTTTTACTGGAACATAATGTCCTTGACACAGTGACATTCTTGCAAGATGGGGCACCTCATATTACAACAGAAGTGAAGACATTCCTAAGAAGAACTTTCACTGAAAATCAATTAATTAGCCATTACTGTAGAAGTAGTGCCACTCCTCGTTTACCAGACTTAACACCACTTGATTTTTGGCTTAAGAGTGATGTGCTTGTAAGCATTTGCCTGCATGTAAATAAATATAGTTTTCCTTGAAATGCGTAATTTGCTTTCGTGCAGCGTCCTCTGTCGACGAAAATTTTAACTATTTTTTACCTTTTTCCAAAAAAGAAAATCTTTACAGGAATAACTTTTTCAGAGACCAAATTCATTTTTACAAATCCCTTCAATTTTTATGAATTTTTTAAACATTTACAGACTTATGGGACGTCACCCTGTATATATGTGTACGTGCTGTTCAAAACTTTGTATCATAATTTGCAAGCTTTATTTACTTGTTGTAAATGTAATATCAAAATAATAGTTGATCCTGCTTGTTACAGTCATTTTTAATAAATGATGTTTAAGCAAAAAGTAACAAGTTAGATAATTCCTTGTTGATAAGATATATGTTGTACGGTAAATCAGTGTCAGTGGCAATTTGAATTTAAAGAAAATCTATTTCAGTTTTCTATTTTTTAATTATATAAATTTAACATAGTTCTTAATTTTTATAAATTAGAGAACAATACTTAACAATTGGAAAGAAATTAAGAGATGGGGAATATGGAGCCTGCTTTTATCCTGGTGTTAGATCTGTTGATCCTTGCACCATTTATGCTGCTCGACCAGGATCAAGAATGTGGGAGGTAATAATGGGTAATTACTTGTAAAATTTGTTCATCCTAAAAAATAAATAATTTGATTTCATGTAGTCAGTTAATCAATATTGTAATATTTTAGTCAATTAATTTTATAATATTTTATTGTCAAAAATATAATTGTTGTGTTATTTATTCAACTTTTGATATAAATTTGTTTGTTAAATGCTGTGATAAGGCTTAACTATTTCAGAATAACTTCTGTAATGGAATAAGGTTCAATGATATTTAATTCATGTATTTGTATTTAATTTTATATGCAAAACTTCACCCAGAAAACAATTTTTTACTTTGAGAAAAGAGAAGAATTAAAAGTATTTTTAGTTTCCTACATGGCTCCTAGAAAAACATAATTAACTTGAACTGTTTATAAACTGGGTAGGATGGTATACAATTATTTTCATGACAAAGCAAATCATTGAGATAATTTTATTACTAAGTCCAAGATCCAAACTCATCAAGACTTTGACAATTCCATATTTGAGATTTCTGTAGATCATCAGTTTAAAACTAGTAAGATGACATACAGAAATTATAAAATTGAAAATATCAAATAGTGATTTGTGAAATAATAGGGCATTTATGACATTAAAGAAATCAAAATTTGCAAAAATAGCTCAATGCTTATTTGTTTGCTTTATTTAACATGTCTTTAATTAAGTCGCTTTATCTTTTGTACTATACTTTCTCTCTAATTTTGTATACAGACATAATTTCTTGTTCATTTATAAAGTTCCGTTGTTAAAGTCCTGTAATAACCGTGTTGTGAATTTCGACTAAATTGTCAATCGAAATTTTTTTTGTTTTCAGCAACCTCTCTGTCACTTTCATCATTATCGGTAGCAACATTTTCTTCTGGATTTAGAACCATAAGACAGATTTTCATGTCCTTTACCTGATTGGAGCATTGTCATCACAATGAAAAACATCTGTTATATCATTATCATTTATTACTACTTCTCCATATTTCTTGAAAAAATTCACTTTTTCAATGTGATATCTGAAAACCTTCAAATTCGCGGCTGTCACCCTAAAGCGTAGCAAGCGTCCACTATATACAATTGGCAGTGTATCATGAGCCTGGCAACTAAAGGCATGTTGTGCACTAAATTTTGTCTTGCTTTTATCACGTGCTGAATTATGTTAGTTTAGTTATTTATTTATATTTACATTTATTTCCTGCATATATTTAGCATTAGAATTAACAGCAACAGCCATTTTTGACGATATCTCTATTTTAATTGGACATAACTTTTTTAATTCTTTATTTACAACTTTGATTTTTTTTACTTTTTCTAAAAACTTACAAATATTACATGATATTCTTTTTTGTCCATTTTAAATAATTATCTTTGCCGATATTATTATGTATACCTAGAATTGCGGCTTTCGGTCATTTTGACTGCATCTTGAAATTTATGTATTTTTTGTTATTTTTAAGACTTTTTTAGATATTTTCAGTTTACTGGTAAATAAACAAGTGCATTTTTGGTAAAGAAGATTGCATATTTCTCAGAAGTTAATGGGGAACGGAATAAAAACACCTCCTTAGAATTTTTTCAAACCACGTGTCTGCCTGTTTCCCTTGTGTTAGAAAAGTTATTTTTCAGTAGACACAAATGTACTTTACTTCATTTGAATAGTTTTGTAGTTCTGACCTATTTATCATGTCGAGTAGAAGCATTGGTGGAAAATATCTAATAAAAGAAGAGATGCAAAATGTTTTTGAAAGCCTTTCTGGTGATAATTCTGCTTCATAAGCTGAACCTGATGAAGAATTTTATGCCGAAACTATTTCCAGTTTATTCGATAAGAACTGGATTGTTCCTACTGAAACAAGTGAATCCGATTCATCTGATGGAGAATCTGTTCGTGAAACAGTAAAGAAAAGTAAAAATTTATACTGAGCAAATATTAAATTGCCTTCTACTAATATAGTTTCCGAAAGTGAAATCCACAGCAGTACTCGAGCTCGAGAGAATAGTGAAAGGCAGCAAAACAGAATTCAAGAACGGGGTAGATGTATCCAAATTAAGTAAACTCAAAATGATGAAGAAACATCGAATGATGGTTTAGTTTGGAAAATAGGAATATTTCAGGAAGACGTCCTCAGTGGAATGTCTTACGAGAAGTAGCTAGGCCAACTTCGTACGCAATGAGAAAAATAATTGATAGTAACTCAAGTAGTGCTGACAACGGACATTTTTTTTTTTTACTCTGCTGAAAATAGTAAAAGAAAATAAAGTTCAGGGATAAGCTACATTGGCACAATTAATCATTCAAAAAGAGGTGTACCTTATTCTTTCAAAAATATGAGGGTGAGCTCTCTTATGCTAAGATTGCTAAGCATGACAATATAATGCTTATATTTTATCAAGAAAAAAACAAGAATGTCCTTGCTCAAGAGTACCATGCACCCAACATTGGAAATTTCATGTGATGAAAAAAAAAATGGTACCGGAACTTGTGAATTTTTACAATTCAACCAAATATGGCGTTCTAGTTTTGAACTAGATGACCAGAAAATACTCAGTAGAGTTCTCATCCAGCCGTTGGCTGGCTTAACATTTTTTTAAATATTCCTGATTTGGCTACGATAAATGCATAGATAATTTTCAAGGAAACAACTGAAGGTAAGAACATCAGCTGCCATGATTTGATTTTGAATACTGCTGAGGAGCTTCAAAAGATGCACAGTGCACAAAAAAAGGGGGGGTATAGTTCTATATCTCCCATTCTACTTGGCTGATTGACGAAATTCAGACTGACTTTTCCATTTCTCAAAAGCATAACTTGGCATATATATTAGATTTATATATAGCTTTGTTCCAACATTATTATTTTGACAAAAAATTGGAATTTTTCTGAAATGGCATATTTATTTTCTTCCATATTCGTATTGCATGACTCTAAATTATGCCAGTGTGCCAACTTTTAAAAATCAAAAACCGCCAGTAGTTTAAAAAAAAATAAGTCTCAAAACTTCAGCATCTCAATGTTAATTGAATTTGGTATATATAAATTATCTTAAAAAAAAAAAAAAAAAAAAAAAAAAACCTACTTGTTTTCATTCAAATTGCATTTTTCATGTCTTTAGAAGTGCAACTTGGGATATGTACTATTAGGTTTATATATAGCATCATTCTAACATAGATATTTTGACAAAAAAATCAGAATTCTTTTGAAATGACATGATAATTTTACGCATATTTCAATTCTACGATTCAAATTATGCCTAGATATTAAATTTTGTAATTTTTGGTGAGAAGTTTATGGAGAAATTTAAAAATTTATCTTGGCCAATTTTTTTCATTTTGCACCAAAAATAATTCACTCGGTAAACTTTTTATAGCAACGTATTTTCCTTTTCTTTTTCTTCATTGTTCACAACTGGGAAAAAAGTTATGGTTCATACTTTCAAATAGATTTAACAAAGTGTGTAAACCACATGTTCGTTATTATTGCTTATAATAAATACTCCAAATTTCAAAATTTAAATTCACCTATATCTTAGGAAATTTTAAATAAAAAACTCTTAATTTTTTGCAGGTATGCTTAGACATCTACTTTAAGATGATGTCAAAACTTTTATAGGTTATAATTCAAAAATTATTTTTAAAAAATTTATAAACTTATTAAAAAAATAATTTTCAAATAAAAATCATTAAAAATAGACAAATTTTATTTGGAATTAACGTAAATTTCAAAATATGAAAGGAAGAATAAAATAAATTTAATAAAAAAAAGAGATATTAATAAATATATATCAAATTCAATGAACACTGAGGAGCTAAAACTTTGAGAGCTAATTTTTTAAAACCTACTTGTGTGATTTTTACAAAACGTGGCAGTTTGGCATAATAAGAATTGAAATATGAAAAAAAAAATGTCATTTCATTTCAGAAAAAGTCTCATTTTGTGTCGAAATAACTGTATTAGAACAATACTAAGTATGAATCTAATACATATCCTAAGTTGCGCTTTCGAGACGTGAAAAACGCAAGTTGAATTGCGTCCATTAGCCCACTAGAATGGGAGATAAAGAAATGTCCTCTTCTTCTTTTTCTTTCTCTCTCTTCCCCTCTCCCCCACAGTGTACCTTTTATCCAAATTTCACAAGCTTCCAGTATCTGATGAAAAGAGAATTGATACTTGCTTCAACTCTTCCTGTAAGCTTAAACAATGCATGCAGAGGTAACAAAACTTTGAATAGTTGTGAATACTGTAAAAAATATGTTTCTGGAACCTGTATAGGTAAAATTAAAAAAATAGTAATTTGTATGCACTGCAAAAGCAATAAATGTAAGTTCTAATATGTGTAATCTTTAATATATTTATTCCATATTGAAAATTTTTATGAGTCAATTTTTTGAATGGTATGAAGTTTAAAAACATCTAGAGTGATTTTCCCCTCCTTTCAGCTGCTTGTTGTATTACATTATCCTTCAATTCATATATTTACTCACTTTATTTTATTTTGCTCTTTGTCACATTAAATTTCTGGTTGTGTGTATGTACAGTCAAAAGTCGTTAATCCGGATTCGTCGGGACTTCAGAGATTCCGGATTATAGATCATTAGTTTAAATCTCGTAAGATGGCATGCAGAAATTCTAAAATTAAAAACATGAAACCGTAATTTATGAAATAAAGAACAATTATGATCTAAAGGGTATCAAAATTTACAAAAAAAAAAAAAAAAAAAAAAAAAAAAGCTTAATATTTATTTGTTTACTTTATTAAACATTTCTTTCAATGTAAGTTATTTAAGTCGCTTCGTTTTATGTGAAAATACTTTCTCTTTAATTCTATAAACAGACATAATTTCTTGTTCAGTTAAAAAGTTCCGCTGTTCAAGTCCCGAAATTGCTGTGCCGAGAATACCAACTAACTTGTCAATCGAAATTTTTTCATTTTCACTAACCTCTCTGTCACCTTCTTCATGTCTTTATCCATTTTTTGCAGCAATTCCACTTTTTGTTTGATGGAC